TGTTGATTGTATTTTGAGTGGCACCTTGCACGTGAACAGCTTCTCTCCAGTGTGGCTGTACACGTGTGTGCGCAGGAACACGCGCCGGGTGAAGGTTTTGCCACAGTAGGGGCAAACGTGTGGTAAGGGGGTGCGGGACCAGTCCTGCAGCAGCTTCGCAGGTGGGGGCTGGTGGGTTTTATCTGGATCTGCAGCAGGGCCCCCCTCCGTGTCCTCTCTACTGCCCGGACTCCTGATATCTGTACAAACAGAGAGGAAAAAAAAATTCAAGGATCAGTGTTTTTGGACTCGCTGCTAGTACCGACGTAACGATGCACGGAACGTCACGATACGATTTTATAACGAGTTTTTTTAAAATTTGTTTCAGAAATATTGTGACCAAATCCTATGAGCCTTTATTTATGGAACTAAAAGTCAAACTGGTCTGGTCTGTTTGACCTGGTTAACTGTCCATACATGAAACAACAACAGGAAGTGGAGAGAGTTCCACTGGAGAACACTGTTCTTCCCACGTTCTGTTCCAACACCTGAACGTCTCTCAGCCGACGTAGGACCTGACGAGGCATGGTCACATCCCTACTCTCCACATCAGAATAGTTAATGATGGTTACCTCTAACGACCCTCCCGCCCGGCAGGATCCTTAAAGAGGGTCGGCTTCTCTTAGGGAGTGATGCGCCCAGGTCAGAGGTCAGCGGCCGTTTGTGGCTCTGTGTTGAACTCTGGACATCAGCCGTTGGAGCTTCATCAGCTTCATCTCTAAGTTCAGCTTCTTCCTCCACCTCTGCCGCTGGTGTCAGCAGGTGGTGGCGGCGGTGGTACAGGAACTGGGTGGTGTTCATGAAGCCGAGGCCGCAGACGGAACAGCTGTGAAGTGGATCCTTCAGGTCGTGCTTCTGCTGGCGGTGAGCAGCCAGCCCCCCCTCGTCACTGAAGCTGTGGCCACACAGGGTGCACATGAACAACTGCGGCTGTGTGAACGTGGAGCGCCCACTAGTGGTCAGAGTTGTCTCCTGTTCGTCTTCGTTTGGTCCACTGTCCTGAGTGGAGACTTCCTTTATGAGGTAGGAGTCAGAAACTAAAACCACGTCTTCTTCTCCTTTCTGTCTGTGCTGCTTACGATGGTAGAGGAAGAGTGTGGTGTTGAGGAAGCTTTCCCCGCACACGGAGCAGCGGTGAAGAGCTTCCTCGAAGCCGTGCTGCGTCTTACGGTGGGCCACCAGTTCAGACACCAGGCCGAAGCAGGAGCCGCAGTCCACGCACAGGAGCACGGGTTCAGGCTTCGGCTTCTTGCTTGAACCTCGTCTCTTTGGAGACTCGTCCACTGAGCCGGACGTCACAGCGGCCGGCTCTGGCTCTGGCTCTGGCTCTGGCTCTGGCTCTGGCTCTGGCTCTGGCTCTGGCTCTGGCTCTGGCTCTGGCTCTGGCTCTGGCTCTGGCTCTGGCTCTGGCTCTGGCTCTGGCTCTGGCTCTGGCTCTGGCTCTGGCTCTGGCTCTGGCTCTGGCTCTGGCTCTGGCTCTGGCTCTGGAGCAGTGGGGTCAGAGGTCAGAGCTGCAGCAGTCTCTGGGACAGACTCCCTCTCTTCATGTCCTACTACTGTTTCTACAATCTCTGGATTATTATTGTTGGTGGAAATGTGATCGGGATCAGAATCTGAAGAGATCCTCTGGGCTACGATGATCTCTGCCTCGGGGTGGGCATCAGGGGTGGATTCACAGGACTTGTTGTCCCCAGCCTCAGACTGCTGACAGGCCTCCGCCTTCCGGTGGTGCTGCCAGAGTTCCAGGGTCCTAAACAGTTCATCACAGTCCCCACACTGGTAGAGGATCCGGGGCTGGTCGGTCTGCACCGCTGCCGTGGCCTGCTTCAGTGTCTGTGGATCGATCTGCAGCGAGGTGTGTCCGGCTGGGACTTGGATTTGTGGAACGGCAAAAGTCCTGGAGATATTTACCACTTTTTGCTGTGAACGAGATGAAAAAAAAAACACAATGTTTTACTGGTGTTGTTGTGTTTCATCAACCACACAACCTGAGTGACAACCGTCCACTCAGTCGACACAGACACTATCACAGCTGTGACAGGAAGCTGCTGATGACCACAGGAAGTGAGGTCACAGAGGGAGGGTCCTACACCTGCTGTCGGTGTCCTAGTCTTCTCCATAATTATGACATATATAAATATATACTTATTAGGTGTGTGTGGAAACCTCCATCCACTGAAGTATCTCCTGATCCCGTATCAATCTCCTCAGTCATCAGTTACGGTCCTACTGTTTATATATATATAAGAATCCAAGCTCATTATATATTTTTCACATTATAAACGTCGTGACTGAACTAAACAACATAGATTTCCCAGGAACCAAACGTCTGAATCTCAGTTTGTGCCACTTCCAGTTCACTCGTGTGAAGAAATATAATTAGCTCCCAGAGCTAGCTCAGACACAGACGAGGAGCACGGGGCCATTTAACAACTACAACTATGATGAGTGGTTTAGCTGAGTCTGCAGCACCGCCTCATAAATACATGAATATTAAAGGCACCACGTGTGGAACTGATGAAGTCAGTGATCGTTGTCATGCAGAGAAGACACTGCTGTGTTCATTAACACAGTACTGTTCCACCAAAGCAACTTCAGGAGACATTACACCATCAGTGTTGTTCTGGACTGTCCACAATATCAACAACAAACAGTCTAATTTAAAACACATATATATATATAAATAAATATAAAAGATACATTTAAAGTTAAACAGTGACAGCAAATGTTCCTTTATTTAGATTGATTTTTGATTTTTATCTTAATACGTTTTAAGAAGGGAAAAAGAAGCCATGAAAGTTATTATTATTTTTTTAATAGCTTGCAGCAGTGTCCTCTCCAGAAGGGGGCACTCTAGGTAAACACCTTTGTGCCATAAACTAAGGATATATGCCACAGTTAATGCTTTTTTATAACAGCATCAATAAAACTGAATTGGTCGACCAATAAACTTCAGTGTTTTGTCTCAACACCTGGAAGTGAAATTTAAAACCTCATCAAGAAACGGCAGCATCGTGTGAGCAGCGAGCGCCTTTAGCCCCGCCCACCTGCAGCTCATCTCGTTGGTCTGCACATGTAGCATTTTCTTCACATCGTGTCCATAAACTGAGGAGCAGTTTTGGAGCAGGGTGCATTCTGGGTGAATGGTAACAACAACAGGGAAACGTTAGCTTTAGTAGGCAGATTTAGGAAGGCATTTCCAGAACATTCTGTGTTAATGGTCGACCGCCCTGTGTTCAGCTCTCCATTCATTTAAGCCATAAAAGCCGTTGTCTTCTACCACAGCCAGATAATGTAAACAGATAAAATTTGTTGGGCTGCAGTAAAGGTTAATGGCAACGCAGTGGCACAGCGGCCAATAGAGACGTGTGTTTATTAGGGTTCCTGCTGCACATTCATAAAAACAAGTCGTGATCCAGGAGGTGCGAGCGTGGCAGCCACTAATGGATGTCTCACACGCCTAACCCACACGGCTGGTCCTTATGAACATGTGTTCAAGTCCCGGCCCAGGCTGAGACAAACATGTCCACTGCCACACAGCAGCCAGAGACCACGTTTAATAATGTTTTAAGGTTAAGGTTCTTAACTCTGTGTGAATCTCACTTTTCAACAATGACAGTGAAAACATGCGTCCAACGTCTCACAGCGGTGCAGCTCGGTGGACAAACTGGACATGACCACGAGTGAGCGTCACGTAAAAAGAGAATTAAAGATGAACATCCTGGGGCTGAAGGAGCATCAAACACCTACTGTCACTAAAACAGGACCAGTCCACGTTTAGCACTGACACACTTCTGCCTTCACCACCTGTGTGACTCATTACACTGATAAACAAAGTGCTGATGTTTCCTTTGGGTTTCTGAGCACAGAACCAAACAGTTCTGAG